CCACCTGCGGGTGGAGGGAAACATTGGCATTCAGCGACGGCTCATTCACCCAGGCTGGCATCTCAGCTGCAGGCTGTGCTGGAGCCAGTGGGACCTGGAAGCTGTGTCAGGGCGGGTTTGCGGCGGGAAGCCATGCTGGAGGAGGGCAGGCTGCCCCAGAGTCATGATCCATCTCAGGAGAGCTCTCTGTGCCCTGCCAGAGGGTGCCTGGGTGCACCTCAGCCCAGCCATCTGGGCGGGAGAGGTGCAGCCTGTCTCCCACAGCTCTGGGACCTACGGGGATGCTCATGCTCCACCACAGTCAAGATGGGGAGGTGATGGGCCCTCTACCTCATCCCCACCCCCAGGCGCTGCCATTGCCCTCCCCGACTGCGTGGGAACGGCTCCTGGGGCTGGAGCATGCCGAATTTCACTTTTTAAATGGGGCTTTTGGCACCCGGCCAGGCAGCGTTTCGTGTTGTCAAATATTTTGGCAAACCGCATCTCAGCTTTAGTCTGAAGCGTCTTTTGCTGGGGAAACGGCACCGAGCCGAGCAGCCAGCACAATCCCAGCGCAGAGGGGAACACCACACTGCTGGCCATATCCTGCATGGGAGCTGCTGGTGCTGGAGTGCTGTCCCATCCTGGTTGGGGGCACTGGGAACTGCACCTGGACAGAGTGACTGTGGTTAGCAGTGAAAGGGCCAAAAAAAAGGTGTTTCAAGGTGACTGAAAGGGTTTGTGAAATCAGGCTGAGCGGGACAAATTGTATTGACAAGAATAAGAAAACCCTGAAAAGTGATTTTTCAAGTCCCTCTTTTGGCTTTTTGTTCTGAAATTGCCCTGCATTAAGAAGAGAATAAAAAAAAAAATCCAGCTCTAAGTAAACTAGAAATAAGGGGACTGTATTTTTTTTACCACCTCATTGGAAAAATGAAACATATTTGTTCTGGGTCAGACAAAAATGAGCAAAGCAATCAGTTATCCACAGAGCCACGCTGCAGGCTGGTTTCCCTTCTGCTCACTCTCCTGGGCATCCTTGAAAGAATATCCAATACCTTTTTATGATGTTTGAAAGAAAATATCTCTGAGGAAAGAAAAAAAAGCAAGGTGTGATCCCAAAAAGTTCGCTTTCACAGCTTGGACAGACCCATCTTTCCCTCCCGCGGCCGCCGCTCCTTCCTCCTGCCCATCACGTTGTGTGGTTAGAGCACACATACTCACGGCTCCAGCACCATGATGGGTTTTGAAAGCCTGAGAAATCCTCCCAAAAGCCTGGTTTCCGGCCAAAAAAACCCGAGGTTATGCAAACATGCGCATAGCTTGCAAACAGGCTGTGTGTGTTGGATGGAGAGCAGCTTTACGAAGCAGGTGTGAGCTGATGCAGGAAGAGCTGCGCTGCCTGATGTCTGCACTGAAAGCCAGTGTCAGCCCACAGACTGAAACCAGGGCTCTGGAATTAGAGAAAAAACAACCAAGGAATAAAAATCTACCCCTGCAACAGCATCCCAAGCAAAATTCCACCCGATCCCAGGCCAGAGGGCAGTGCCACCCATTTCGGTTAGGGCTGCAGGACCCCTTTTTGCTAGGCCACCAGCCCACGTGACGGGCTGTGGGGTGAACTTTCCCAACCAAGTTCACCCCACAGCCCATCCCCCATCATGCTGCTGCCATCCTGGTTATGCCCCCACAGCCCTGCGGGACTTGCTTATACCTTTGTAGAGGTTTAAAGGTAGATGGCTTCTTGGCAAAGGCATCCCTGGAATCTTCTGAGCCAGTGAAACCTCCTAAAAACCAAGTTCCTAGCAGCTGCCAAGAAGAAGCTTGTTTGGGTTTAAAATGTGTTCAGAAGAGTCATTCTCTTATGAAAAACTGCGGCTGTCAAAGCACCACAGCGGAGTTGCACTTATTACATATTAATGACTCCACATCAGCTGCGTTTGCTTTACAATACCCAAATATTGGAAATATCAATGTATGAGCATTCCTGAATGTGAATTGTCAGACATGCAGATCTTGGTGCCTGGAAGCCCAGCAGAGCCCCAGCATTACCCACAGTAAATGCTCCCTGTGCCAGTGAATGCCATTGTGGAGCTGCACGGTCACAACCCTGTGAAAGCTGGGAACCAGTGGTGTGGAAGATGTGAGTCTATCTTGCTCCATCCCGGAGCTGTTGGCTGCACCGACCTCCCATTTGGATGCTTTTAGCAAACAGGGTGAAGTGGCTCGTGCCAGTGTGATAATGTGGAGGGAGGCACGTGGTGTGAAAAGCCTCAAGGGGGAAAAGGGATGGTGATGTTTGCAGTGTGGGATTTTTGACACCTGATGTGGGAGGCTGAGCAGAGCAGGAGGTGCTCTCTGGCATGGAGAGGGTCTTTCAGAGTATTTAAGCCTTTTTCTGATTGCTCCCTGAAGGGGATTTTTTGGGGACTGAATCTTATCCCCTGCGTTGCTCAGTGGAGAGGGTTTGGGGTTGTCCTGTATAGGGCCAGGGGCTGGACTTGATGATCCTTGTGGGTCCCTTCCAACTCAAGATACTTCTATTCTATTCTATTCTATTCTATTCTAGGGTCTAAGCCTCTCGGGATGACAGGGCTGAGTGTCATCCTCCCCCTTCACCTCTCTCCTCCAGGGCAGGGAGGGATGCTGCACGAGTTGGGTGAGTGCCAGGCAGAGCTGATCCTCCTGGGGCTGCTGCAGGAGAATTGGCAGAAATGGGACTGGGGACCCTGCTGCTCATGCCATTCTCTAGGCTGATAAAGGAGACTGAGGCATCTCCTCTTGCTCATTCCCTGGCCAGGTGCAGGCACTAGGAATTATCCCTTGAGATGCTTTCTGCAGCCTCTACTGTCCCCACTGCCAGGCATCAGATCCTGATGGAGCACAGTCCCTGTGCACGGCAGGGCTGGTTCTCTCCCAGTCACCTTGCTGCCAGCAGGGCAGCAGCTTGGGCTTGCCTGGGTAGTTCATCAATGATGTGTTCTTTTCTCACTCATGTCTCCAGAAGATCTTGGTGGTAGGAATACACTTCCTGGCCTCCCTTCTCCTGTGTTCATTGGGGAAACTGAGGCATGGGACGGTGGGGATGCAAGCACAGATGTCTCCTACAGCACAGGTGGGTCTGCAGCAGAGCTGGAACAAAACCCCAGGGGGTTCAGCACTTCACCTTCTGCGTCTGCTGTAAATCCACCTTCTTCCACCACTCACTGTGCTCGGCATTAGCATGATATTAGTTTGAAGGAAACGTTGACTCTCTGTTGACTTTTTTTGGTTTTTGGTTTTTTCAAAAGCATGTCATGTGGGAGTTATTAAAGAGTTGCCTACATTTTACAAATATTTCCAGGAAGAAATTTGCCAGTGGGCTGTGGAAGAGGGAGTGTGATGCTGACCAGCACAAGGCTGGCTGCCAGACCGTGCTCTCTGCTCATCCATCAGACTGTCCCCAAAACCTCCCTTCCCCCAGTGAACTGGTAACAGTAATGAGCTGGGGTGCCAAAGTATCTGTGTACCTTGCATCACCTTAGCCAAGGTGATCAAAGGCTGCTTCCCTCCTCAGCCTGGCACGGGGGGACAGTGGCCACCTGCCAAGGCGCACATTCAGTTTGGAGCGTTTGCAGCATCCCCCACCCCCAGGGATGGTGGTGCCTAAATGAGGACTGCGAGTCTGTCAGGCTTCTGCCTGTCAGCTGCCTGTTCCTTGGAGACACACGGAGCTGAGCCCTCCTGGGGGATGCCTGTGATCAGCACCGCGATGATGGTCGCTGAATCTGGGGAAAGGCTGGGGCTGGAGGGCTCCTTTCTGGGAGCTGCCAGTGAGAAGCAGGAGGAGAAGCTGTGCTTAGGGAAAGGGCTTGTTAAAAAGCTGTGGAGAGTCACGGACAAACTGAGGGGGTTCTCTGCAGGACATCTCCAGGTAACACCGAAGGGAAGAGTAATGGCAGCTCTCAGTGCCACTGAGTGCCTTGATCCCCTCGGCCATAACTCACACGGCCATGAGTCAGTGTAAAGTGCCTCCTGCACCTGCCTGCCTCTGTAACGGGTAAACAGTAATAGTTTGTGGTTAAAATATTGCCCTCAGATGGTAATCTGTGCGACATGGTTTATACAGAACAGCTGCCCTGGGAGGGGGGTAACCTCTCCATCCTTGGCAAGAGGTTCTGTACTTGTGGTGCCGGATCCCAGGTGTATGGAGAGGGATGCTGTCGGATGTAGGGTTTTGCAGGCATCGTGCATGGCTCTGCACTCCACGAAGCAGGCAAGGTGCAGGGAAGGGTCTTTTACCACTCACAATAAGAGCAGTTACTGTGCTTACAGGCAGAAATGGTATCAGTGAAACCTCAGAAGACATCCTACCCAGAAGAACAGCAACACCAAATCCACGCAACACCATTTTCCCAGAGCTGTTACCTCCCTCCAGGATGGTGGTTCCTTGGGGCTGGCTGACCAGGATAATACTGGGCAGGATTTCAGTCTGGCCCTTGAGGCTCAAAAGAGGTTTGGGGACAGACAAAAGTCTCCTGCAAGTGGGTGGCAGTGACGCAGGGCAGAGCGATGGTATTGCTGGTATGTCGAGCACCTTGTTTATTACACCTCAGACATGTCGCAACAGTGCTGGGTTGTGTAATGGTTTCCAGGAGATTTTCCTGCTTTCAGCTTTTGGGGCTCTCATTCCCAGGGTTGGTTTCTGCCAGAGGTGGTATCTGGTAGAGAGAATGAGTTAAAATCAAACTTCTTAGGTGGGGTTTTGTGTTGAGATACCAAGTGTGTGATGGAGAGAGGGAGGAGGAGACTTCCACCTTTCTGAATTTTTTTTTTTTTTTGTGAGCACCTTCCTTCCTGGGAGCTTACAGACAAGGGGTGAAAGCTGGGTGCAGCTTCCAGTCTAGGTAGTCTGATGCTACTCCATTTCAAGAAAATTGTAGGCACTGACATCATGAATTTCACCCACAGGGATTTAAGTGTTTCTGCCTAGCACCAGTAAGAGGTGGTACTTGACAAGTGGCCTTGCCTTCTCACTGCAGGAGACTGAGGATCCTGTGATCCAGCCCAAGAACTTCTATGGAACTTCTATGGCACTATTCCTGCCCCTGCCAAGTCCCAGCCCTCCTCAGGCTGAATTTTGGCACGTTCCTCCCTTTCCCTTTCCTTTGTGCAATTTTCTTCTCTCTTCTCTCCTTTCCTGGGATTGGAAGAGTTTGCACATGCAATATGAGTCACCTTGACTGCTGCAAGGTGCAAAGGACAGAGAGAGCTCTGTTCTCCTGGCAGTTCCAGTTGGGGCTTGGATAAATCCTCTGAGTTGTCAGTCAGCAAAGGCGAGCTCCTTGTTCAGCACGGGTGACCCAGGAGTTTCAGAAGCTCAAAATATTGCACAACTTGGAAGAATTATCACTGGGAAAATTACTGTAGCACCCGAGGGGAATTCAGCTCTCCACCACAAATGCGGAGGCATTCAAGCTTCTCCTTGAAGCGGCTGCAAAAATTTCTTGATTTGGCCATTTTTGTTTTCCAGAACCTCATTCAGCACATTGGCTGAAATCTTCCTGGCCCGGGTTGTGCCCCCAGCTCCGGGGGATTTTCTTATTTTTGAAAACTCCAGCTAAATGCTGGCAGAGTTATAAGGAATTGAGGGAAGCTCTTAAAATGGAAAATGTTGGGCAAGCCCAAATAGCTTTGGAGCATGTGGCATGGTGAGGAGAACCTCCTTGATGGAGACTGGGCTCCCTCGTGCTGCTGTCTGCTGTGCTCAGCCAGGCACAGCACAGATGGGCTCTGAGCATGGAAGGATGCTCCTGCCCCCATTCCAAATGAGAGCATCAAATAGTAGGGTACAGCAACACCAAACCTGCTTCCCAATGCACTTCTTTGCAGGGAGGTGCTGGGTAGCAGTTAAGGGGGACCTATCCAGCTCACTGCCATGTCCGGGTTCCTTCCACATCCGGACTTCAGCCCTCAAAGGATGAGTTGCACCACATATTTGAGCCCACGGCAAGGTCCCCCTCTGTGCTTCCCTTGCAAAGAATGAAATAACCTGGAAGCTGTTGGTCTCTGGAAGCAATTTAGCATGGGACGTGGCTATTAATTTAAATAGATTACAGAAATTTGAACTAAGCTGCATATAAATCTTCTGACCAGTTCTTTAGGCTTTGGTCTCTGTTGTTTACACTTTTTTTTTTCAATTTTTTTTCGATTGTGTTTTATTGATTCCTGAAGCTGTGATGTTTCAGTTGGAGCTCACTGCTTGGATGGCAGGCAGCTTCACTTTTCCACACATATTACCTTTCAGAGCTACTGTGAGTAGGACACAGATGTTGTTAGGTCTCAGGTAAAGCCATCAAAGGTGGACGTTCAATCAAGTTTGACATCATCTTCAACCTGAAGGCAAAGGGGTTGGTTTTGATTAGCAGCTCGCAGGGCTGAGCCTAACCCATATCAGAGCTGCTGCTGCTACTTTACCTGAATGGCAAAACCACAGATGGTAATTATAACCATAAGTGCTTACAGATTTCCTAACAACAAAGATAATTTGTTTGCTCCATGCCTTGTTAGAAGGAGAATTTTGTTCTGGTGACTGGGTGGTTTGTGAATCAGTCGTTGCCCTTTCACCCCTTCATCCCCGGCTCGGCTGTTCCCCCCAGCTGTGGCCATTAGATGTTGATCCAACCAGAAGGGTCCTGCCGAGTCTGGTCTCTGCAGCGGCCACAGAGACGCCAGCCCAGTGCAAGGAGCCATCCTGGCCTGGCAGGGAGTGTGATGCTGTGCTGACACCCATGGGATGTCCTGGGATGCTGGGCAGGGGAGGTCCTCCTTGCTAAAACCACCCTTTCCTCGTCCTATGCTTGTGCGTATAAATTCTGGGGCAATTGGGGTTAAAACTTGCTGCCAGGCTGCCCCGAGTCACTGGACAACTGCTGCTGGTCCAAAGCAGGGTAAAGCTCAGTCGCATCCCCCATGCTCATCCCATCGCCCTGCTGTGGGGGATGACAGCCAGGCTTGCACTTCAATTCTGGGAACCACTGCCAAAAACCATGGCTTTCCTCCCATCTGAAGGTGACCCAGCATCCAAAGTCTTGGGAGGAAAAGGGGGGGAGCTTGTCACTATTGATCCCTGACAGCCGGAGGTCTCTCTGCACCCTGCAGCCGCTCTCCGGTGCTGGAGACGGGTTACCTGTAAATTAAACCAGCTGGTGACAGTGGCTCGCTGGCAGCCCTGGCCCGTGTCCACAGCCGTTCCTTGGGGCAGAAAGCCTATGGGTCGGCTTGGACCTCGGCTTGGCAGCGACTGAGGGCAGTGTCTCGCCTGTCGCGGGCAGGCAGATAACAGCTTTGATTTCTGGGTCTCACTTTAATTATAATGGAAGGACGCGGTTCGTTAAGTGCCCGCTTTGCTTTCCAGAGATCCCTCCCGGCTGCCAAGTGCGCTGGGCTAACAAAAGCATTCCTCTCCCTGCCGGGGCCGGCCGCAGCAGCCCGTATGGCGAGCAGACGGAGGGGATTAATGCACACGAGAACAGTCTGCCCGACTCCCGGTCCCTGAACACAACCTGAGACCTCTGATCGGCCTCTCCGGAGGAAAAACTACCCTTGAAATGGAGACCTCCTCCAAAGAACACTCTTATGCCTTTACACCAGCTCATCTCCGCCTCTCTGCCCGGCACGGGCAGAATACCTGCAGGGTCTTGCCCCAGAGTGTGTTTCTCCTCTCCCACAGCTTGAATCAGATGATTTTTTCCATGCCAATCGTACCTGGAGTTGTTCAAGATGGTGATATTGATCTTGTTCATATTTGTTGCCTTAATGAGTCACAAATTCTGTCTGCAAGCAGAGGTGCTGGCTGGCTGCTGCTAACCTGCCTTTCTGGAAGGGTAGGAATTTCAGCAGATTTGGAGAACTGGTGTTTTCTTAGATTCCTAAAGGAAATTACACTAATTGCAACAACCCCCATGTCCCTGCAGCAAGCAGAAGTGATAGGATCTCCCCCAAAAGTTTGCTCCTGGTCACTGTAACCTTCCTACAGCCCGCCTCCCACCCTGCAGCGCTGAAGGACCTGCGTGATGATCTGCCAGACCCCAACACTTATGGCTGCTTTGAGGACAAATTGTTTCTGTGCTAGTTCATCTTTTGGCTGTGGATGGTTACCTGGGCTGAGCAGAAGTGTCAGCTTACCACATGGGCAGGGGACTCGGGCCGTTCACTGCCGCTGCTCTGATCTTGGGTGTGGCCAACATTTCCTTATTTTGAAATTATTTTAATATTCAGGCTACATGAATATCCACACACGGGCACAGTACACGGGGTCACAGCACAGTGCTAATGTGGAATTAATATAAATGCTCTGTGGGGTATGTCTAAACAATGGTCCCATATTAATCAGCTTAATATTAATCAGCTTTCTCCTCCACTCAGATCTAGCAAAGCCCCCCCTCCAGAGCAGGACGTGGTGCTGGTTTGGGGATGCAGCCTGTTTCTGAAGCAGGACAGTGTGCTTCTCGCATGTCTCAGATGCTCTTCAATAGGCTTAATTTAAACATTAACTCCCAATTTGCCTCTGGGCTCAGGGCATGGAAAAAATTAGAGCAAAGGGAGAATTTTTCAAGAAGTTGTGAGTGAGTAAAGCAGGGTTATAATAGAAATAGTTTTTGACCTTAATTATGGCTTCTAATGGAAATAGTTGTGCAACCTCAGCAGTGGGGTTTGGTACATGCAGCAGATCTGAGCCAAGGATGGTGACGGGATGACAACGAGGGCTCGGTGGCCTTGGCTGCTCTCTCATAGGAGGCTCTCAGGCTGAGGCTGGCAAGGGAAATGTTCCTCATTTCCACCATCCACAGCTCTGGCTCACTCCACTTGGACCTAAGGCTTTGCCCCATTTCTGCTTCAGACAAGATTGTAAGCGGCCTCAAAGTCCCTCATCACAGCCGGCAGATTGTGCAGCCGGCACCCAGCACCTCTGGACAGAGGAGCGGTAAGAGCCTGTAATTCCCTGCTGGGATCAATACAGCAAGTCCCAGCACAAAGGCAGCACAGCTCCCTCTGTTCTACTCCCACCCAGGCAGGGGCAGGAGGGACAGCCTGACTCTCTCTCCACTCCCCTGGGGAAGCAATTCTCGGCTGTGAACGCCGATACAATAAACTCCAGTGCTGCCCTCCAGGGATAATGATGCCAGTGGGAGCTGCCGACCTGCAGAGATACTTGTTTGAAGGATCCAGATTGCAAAATAATGACATAGCATTTGCTAGGGGTGGGAGCAGTATGGGTTAATTACTGAAGAGGAAGCACATCACCTCTGGTGTTGGGTCAAACCTCCTCGCTCTGGAATTGTGTTGTTATTACCCCTGCTATAACGGGTCACTTGGCACAGCCTGGGAGCAATGACGTGTGTGGCTAAAGTGATTTAGAAACCTCTGTTTTGGGTGATAAATGGATCCTGGCCCTTCAAGGGACCAGGGATTGCCTGGTTCACCTCTTCTACCATAAAGGCAACCAAGATCTCAGGGCATGGAGCTGGCAGAAGGTTCACTTGTGTCTAGGGAAATGCAGGTGGGATGAGTGGTTGATTAACACAGCTGCAGGGCTGGAGGACACCAGCCAAAACCACTGCTGTCAGCAGGGCAGGCTGGGATGATGTGAGATCCAGAGGGACTTGAAGAAGGTGTGACCTCCTCCTGTGCCTGCACACTGCCAGCAACAGTCATGGAAAACGATGGTGACATCTTGCAAGGGACCAGTGTCCTTCACATCTGCAGTGGTGTCGGGGTGGGTAGGGAATGGCAACCCTTCTTCCCTAGAGTGCTGTGCAGAACTGTCCTCTTGCCAGATCTCAGCCAGCTTTAGGTTGTCCCCAGGGGGAGCAAAGTCACCTCCCAGAGATATCCATATGTCTCTTCTGGATATAAATGCAAGAAATGTGGATTGGTTCCCAGTCCAAAAGGGATGTGGGGTGCAGCAAGCCACATCCAGGCCTGTGTGGTGATTTTGGAAACATGCTCATGGTGTGTATCCTAATTTCTCGCTGCCAGAAGTGATCTCACAAGTGTGACCATGAGGAGGCATTGGGGCTGCAGCAGCTCTGTTTCACCTCCCATTCTGGGAGTCAGTGACCTGCAGTATCCCAAAGGCAGCTCCTGCCTGAACAAGAGCAGAGGGAGGATGCTTCCTTTCTGGGCAGGGACCCACAACAAGATCTCTCCAAATGCTCAGGGCCCGGCAGCCACTGCCAAGGCACACGTCCTTGTGTTTTCAGCTCTCAGTTCCTAAAAACTTTGGGAAACCTGACCATTTTTGTCCTCCAAAGGGTGCTGGAAAACCCCGACCTCAGTGTGGGGGTTGAGTTGTTTGGAAAATTCAGGCTTTGTGCTGAAGATGCAAACATGTTAGTTCCCCTCCATTGCCTATGTCTCTGTGTAGGTTGCAGAAATAAAGCAAGTGTTTAACATGCAGGCATTTAACCCTTTCAGGATTCCAGTTTATTCATAGCATTACCTAACATAAAGAATCCTTCGGTGCGTTTTGACAGCTACTGTTTTAAAGTTCTTATCACCGTTATTTCTTCTTTTATCATGGTTTTTGTATTGTGTGGTGAAGATTCGTCTCATTCCTTGCCTAGTTTATCTATAATTCAGGACGTTTTTACACTTAGGTTATAATTGACTTTTCCATGCTGCAGCAACTCAAACAATAACTATTAATATTCAGCAGTCTATAGTGATAAAGATTTCCATTTACTTTCTTTTACTTAACCGTGTGAATATACGACATCCTATCTCACACGGTTAATATTGAATTCATTCATATTTACTCTCCATTTTCCTGTATAACAATATTGAAAGAGTGAACACTGTGGTTTTGGGGACATCTGACTCCCACCCTCAGCTAGCCAGCCTTTCTCCCACCCTCAGCTAGCCAGCCCTGCTCCCACAGAGGGGAGCTGATACCTGCAGATGCTGGTGATGCTGTGATGCTGGCTGGCCATCACCCCTCAGGTCTTTCCAAGCCTGGGGAAGAAAGTGGAGCAGAGTACAAAGCACAGTACCTCAGCCTTCCTTGCCGCAGGGACAGGACCCAGGTCCTGCCACTGATGAGGAGGATGCATTTGCAGACAAGAAGCTGTAGTCTCAAAAATCCAAAAGGGTTTCAGATGGTG